GATGAGAGAGATAAACAGAGACAAAGATGTGGATAGTGAGACAGGGAACAGAGATAGCGAGAGAAAGGAGATAGAGAGTGGTCCAGAGAGAGACAGAGTGGGAGAGACAGAGAGACAAAGAGAGTTGGAAAGGAATGATAGAGAGGAGATACAGAAAGAGAGAGAGAGAGAGAGATGGAGAGAAGACAGAGAGGGAGCAAGACAAAGAGACACAGAGAGACAGAAAGATATCTGTCAGTTGGGTAGGGTGGCTCACGCCTATAATCCTAGCACTTTGGGAGGCAGAGGTGAGAGGACTGCCTGAGCCCCAAGGTTCGATTCCAGCCTGGGCAATTTAGCAAGACCTTGTCTCTACAATAAATAATAATAAAAAAAAAATTAGCTGGGTGTGGTGGCACACACCTGTAGAACTACTACTTGGAAGACTGAGGCAGAAAGATCACCAGAGCCCAGCAGGTTGAGGAGCGTGCCATTGTACTCCAGCCTGGGTGACAGAATAAGACTCTGACTTGAAAGAAAGAAAGATATCTGTGGCACACAGGAGTTGCTTCTTCTTTTCTCTTTCACACTGGAGTGTGTGGAAGAGTTCTGAGACATAGTGGGGTCTATCCTACCTTCCTCAATAATAACAGTAAGGAAATGTGCCATGTACTGCACAGAATTGCTTTATAAGCACTGCCTCATCCAGCAAGACCCAGCAGCTCCATGAGGCAGGCGCTCATTTTACAAATGAAGAAACTGGGGCACAGAGAGGCTAAGCAATTTATACAAGCTCACACAGTAGGAAGTTGTAGGACTGGGATTCTAAGGCAGCGGTGGGGGGGAGGTCTGTTCCCAGAGTGGGGCTGTTGGCTCACAGTGGGACACACTTGCAGAGCAGTGTGGTCCTACACCTAAAGGCTAACCCTTGTACCCTATGCATACCTCAAGCAAATTTGCCAGGGTAAAAGAGAAGTAAAAAACAGAACTCAAAATAAAATGTGAAAAAAAATACGTGGACCTTGAATACTGAACTGCTCACTTTCTCTCTCTCTTTTTCTCTCTAATACTAGGGTCTCCCTATGTTGCCTAGGTTGGTCTTGAACTCCTGGCCTCAAGCAATCATCCCACTTTAGCCCCTCAAAGTGTTGGGATTACAGATGTGAGCTACCACACCTAGCCAGATACTAAACTTCTCTAAGAGAAACTATGACATAACATTTTTTAGATAAGCCAGGTGTGATGGCTCATGCCTGTAATCCCAGCACTTTGGGAGGTGAGAGGATTACCTGAGTCCAGGGGTTTGAGACCAGTCTGGGCAACTTGACAAGACCTCGTCTGTACAATAAATAAAAAATACAAAAATTAGCCAGGCATGGTGGCACGCACCTGTGGTTCCAGCTACTTGGAATGCTGAGGCAGAAGGATCACCTGAGCCACTGCACTCCAGTCTTGGTGACAGAGTGAGACTCCTACTCAAAAACAACAAAAAAATGTTTTTAGATAATCAGGGAAATTTGAATATATGAGTAAACTGGGAATGAGATAACATCAGGAAATTATTAATTTTGTTAAGTATGATAATGGCATTGAGGATTTGTAAAAAAAAATCCATATTTCTAGAATGTACTCTGAAACATGGAGGGGTGAGATGACATGATGTCTGAGGTCGGCTTTAAAATGCCTCAGAAAAGAAATGAAGCTGGTTGCAGTCACACCCATAATCCCAGCACTTTGGGAAGCCAAGGCAGGAGGATTGCTTGAGCCCAGGAGTTCAAGACCAGCCTGGGCAACATAGTGAGACCTTGTCTCTACAAAAAACTTTAAAAATTAGTCCCAGTTACTCGGGAGGTTGAGGTGAAAGGATCACCTGAGTCCAGGAAGTCAAGGCTGCGGTGAGCTGTGATCATACCACTGCACTCCAGCCTGGGCGACAGAGTGAGATCCTGATTTAAAAAAAGGAAATGACGCGGGTTCGAGACCCGCCTGGGCAGTGAGACCTCATCTCTACAATAAATAATAATTTAAAAAAAATCAGCCGGGCGTGGTAGTGCATGCCTGTAATTCCGGCTACTTGGAAGGCTGAGGCGGAAGGATCGCCGGAGCCCAGCAGGTCGAGGCTGCGGTGGCCGGGAGCGGCCACTGCACTCCAGTCTGGGTGACCGAGTGAGACTCCAACTCAAAAAAAAAAAAGAAATGAGATGAGGCAAGAGTGGTGAAATCTCCATAACGGTTGAATCGGGGTGATAAGAGAGGGGCGTTCCCAAGGCCCTGAAATGGCTCCCCTCTCCACTCCCCAAAACAGAGGCACAGTTCTCTAGCCCTTAGCACTCAAGGCCCCACACTCAGTCCCACCAGTGAATGCATCCCTTTTCCACTCACGCCCTACCCAGCACACTCTGCTCTGATCACCCTACCTCTCAAATTCCACCCATTCCCTCTGCTCTTCTGCCTGTGCTATTTGCCCTCTTGATTTGCCATTCCCTCTTCCTAGCCAAACCTGGCTCAAGTCCCCCATGTCCCAGGACACTTCCCACACCTCCTGGAAACTTCTCCAGCAATGCTCCTTGTGTCACACATGTTTACCTTTATCATAAGCTACCACTATTGCTAGTTACAGTTTTCTGCAAGGGCAAGGTTTCCTCTCCATGAGCTCCTGGAGGGCAAAAGCTGTTTCTCAGGTATTTTGATTGTTGTTTCAGTTTTTTTATTTTCCCCCAGTGCCCATCACAGCCCTCTAATCTCACCTGGCCTCAACTCTTATCAACCAAGGAGGTAGCTTGGCAATAATTCCTCTGGTCATTCAAGTTTCAGTCTAAACGTTCCCTTCAAGAGTCTCTCCTGACCATGACTCATGCCACCCACCAAAGGCAAAGTCACCTGTTCAGTGTCTTCATAACATCTATCACTATTGGAAGTAATTTCTGTATTTGTTTATATTCTGCTTCCCCACATTCAACAAGGGAAAGACTTCATTTTATTTTTCTTAGTTTCTTAGTCTTCTATATCCCAAGTAACTAGGAAAAGGCCTAGGACAGGCTCAGGTGCTCAATCAGTATTTTTTTGAGTTGGAGTCTCACTCTGTCACCCAGGCTAGAGTGCAGCGGCACGCTCACGGCCACGATGGCTACGAACTGCTGGGCTCAGGTGATTCTTTCGCCTCAGCCTTCCAAGTAGCTGGAACTACAGGTATGCATCACCATGCCCAGCTGATTTTTAAAATTTATTGTAGAGATGAGGTCTCACCAAGTAGCCCAGGCGGGTCTCGAACTCCTGAGCTCAGGCAATCCTCTCGCCTTGGCCTCCCTAAGTGTTGGGATTACAGGCTTGAGCCACCGTGCCTGGCTCAATCAGTATTGAGAGAGTAGAGAATAAATGTAGTCTTCCCAACTAGAATACAAGTTCCCAGATGGCAGGATTTGGTTGCTTCCTGGAGACAGCTGGCATGTGGTATTTGTTAAACAACTACTCATAGATAATAAGCTAGGGGGTCAGGGAAACAGGGACTGGGCCACTTACTTAATCTTGAACTTCGAGTCATAACCTCTCCTTTCTTGGCCATCCCTTCAGGGGTTTGGACTTGGATCTCTGGGGCCATCCCTGTTCCTACTGCAGGATCTGAGGAATGAGTGCAATACACAGGGCAGTCTGGGGGCACCAGTCACAGCTTTATAGTAATATGGCCACCTGCTCCTCCCTCCCTTCCCAAGTCCCCACCTTGGGCAGCCCACTCACCATCTCACCTGGGTGCCCCTCCAGCAAACTGCACTCAATCAGTCCAATATGGAGTCATTATCTGCCTCCTCACCAGCCTGCCTGCCTTTCCTGTGTTCTCAGTGAGGGCAGTGCTGCCAGCCCAGGCTCCCGGGCCAGAAATCTGGGTGGTTTTCCCTCCTCTTCCCTTACACTCATGCTCTGAGCCAATGAGTCAACAAGTCTTGCAGAGTTTACCTTCTGAGTTGCTCCCAAATCCATGCCTTCCTTTTTGTCTCTCCTACCACTGTCCTAGTCTACCTTTACCTGGACTTCTGCAGCAAACTGTCTCCCTGCCTCCACTCTAGCCCACTCCATCCCCTCTCGTCCACCCAGCCACCAGAGTGAGCACAGGAGACCTGCTCACATTACTGCTCAGCACTCTTAAATGCTCTCCCGTGGTGGTCCTCCAAATACCTTGTCATCACCCACCAGGAACCCAACCCTCCCCCATCACAGCTGCCTGGACCCTAAATTTATGATCCAGTCACTTCTGTCAGTTCCCTAAATGTACTATGCTCTCCCTCTTGCCTTGAACTCAGTCTGCTAGCTCTTCTCCTCCCCAGCCCCCTGCAGCTCTCAGCTGAGAATCTCTTCCTCCAGGATGCCTTCTCTGACTACACCCCTTACACTCAATTAGGTGTCCCTTTGGTGTAATATCACCAGGCCTGTTTCACCTCTCACAGTCCTTTTCATTCTTATTGTCTGACTCTGTCTCCTCCAATCCCTCACCTACGCACCCCTCACTTGACCCTGAGTTCCCTAAGGGCTAGATGGTAGGTGTCTGCCTTGGTACACAGGAGACACTGAGCAAATATTAACTGGATGAATGACATTACGCTAAGACTGCTGGGTTAAACTCTCAGTTCCATCACACACTAGCTGTAAACTTGAGCAAGGCCTTCTTGGCCTCACCTGTAAAATGGGAATAGTAACAGTGCCCTTCTGTGAGAAGTCAAGACTTAGAGAAGAACCTGCACTTAAATTTGGCTATTATTACTAATTTTTTTTGGACACAACTTTTTCCTGGATCTTAACGCACCTCACCGGGAGGTCCCATTATACAGGTACATCCGCCCAGGCTGCGTCCGGGCCCACGACGGACACTAAAGCCGACGCCGCGGCCCATTTAAGGACGGGAGGGGGCGGGTCCGGAAAGGCCCCGCCTCCGCGTGAGGTCAGCGCGCACCGCAGCGTGTGACGCT